CCAGCCATCTGGAGTGCTGGGACTTTTCCTGGTAAGCTGTTAGAACTGTGCCATTGTAAAAGCAAAGGAATCTAAGCAGTCATGGGCTGTGGTTCTGATGGCTTCCCTTGGGGACTGAGCCGGTGGCCCAATTCATTTGGAGAGGGGCTCTCATTATGGGTCATGATCCATTTGCTTTCACTACAATTAGGAGTTTATTTAATGCAGTTTTAATGCATGTTTGCAGCGCTAAAACATATGGTCATGTCATCTTGTCAGGACTGAGTCTGGCATAGCGGCTAAGGCTTTAAAAATCTTTATTTTTATGGGGACACATACATTAAGATACAACAGTCATGGAATAAATTCAAACCAGCTAGAATTAATGTCCTCCTTTTGACTTAAATATAGAGTTCAAGGCTAATCCCAAGTACATATAAATAAATGGAATAGTAACCAACAGCTTTTTTCAACAATGGCCCCACAAAAATATTTTGAATCGTGTTTACTGGGTTTTGATAATCTCCTGGATTATTTGTCATTTCATTGTCTATCGCCCTTCACTGATGCCTGGTGTGAGGAAAGTTCTTTTATTTTGAAACGCACTGGTCACACAAAGCTAGGATTTGGCGGGCTGGTATTTTGTAAAATCATATTAATGCTGAGCATGATTTGCATTTAAAACACAAACTAAGGATGTCTACAATGACAAACGTGGCAGTGTGAATGTGCAAATGCAGGGTCACAGCTTTGATTCTGACAACAGTCCGAGTTATCCTTATCTGTTACGTTCTATCGAGTTGTCCCTGAGCAATACACCACGTCACCATTCATGGGAAGTCACTTTGGAAGAGGGTGGGAGCCAAAAAACCAATCAGCAGAAACATGCATTTCGGTCGGTTCATTCAGAAAATGTTCTGTAAGTGAACATGTTAAACTGAGAGATTAAGTCACTATGTTACAGTTTTACTGTGGTGGAACACCAACTGTGAAACACCAAGGGCACGAACACAGAAAACAGATAAATTACAAAGTCTGGGCTTCAATGCAGGTTATTATACCAATAAATATATACCATTTGTGTGTGTGCATGAGTCCTCAAAGTATGTGTGTGCTTTGTGAGTGATATGTGTGGGTTTTACATGTGTCTGTAAAGGATCTCAGCATGTTAAGCCTATGTGTTTGTGTGCTAGAATAGTAAAGAGTACCCTCCCTGATATTTTGAGTCAGTCACAATACTACGCTTCCAGCAAGAACAGTAGCAGATTAGCCATTTCTGAACCTCCCACACATCCCTCCCTACACACTGCCAAGCTACAAAGGTTCTTTGTCCTCGGAGTAGACAATTCAAATCTCCAGCGCCGATTTCCCACGGATTTTCTAAATGTAGATTTCTCTCTGTCTTTTGGCAAAAGGAGTTTTTGGTTTTGTTGTAAAGCTTAGCATGGTGATTATTCAGACTTATTCCTAAAAAAAAAAGAACTGTAGAATAAGCATGGAAAGCACTTGGTCCAGTCAAGCAGACAGTGTGGAGTGCAACACTGTGGGAACACACATGGGTTGATTAAAAAAAAAAAAAAAAAGACACTAACACATTTTGAGACTTGCCTGGTGATGTGCAGTAGGGCATTTCAACATGCAGACATGTTCCTGGGTCTGTGTGTGTGTTCGTACAACAGTACGGTATGTGTGTGTCAGATCGATGTGTGAAAGTGTCAGAGGCCAGAGCAAAAGAAAAACACCCGATTGTACACCGTGGCAACAGCAACCGAATCACCAGACTAGAAAAAGTCAAAAGTGAAGACCCAGGGGGGATTCAGAGATAAAAGAGGAAAGGAAATGTAAAAGAAGAATGAAGAGCACCTATGCTGAGGAGGTGTTAGTTCATGTAAAAAAACTGTGGGTGCAAAATAAAGAAAGGGTAGAAAAGAAAAACAAACCTGGGCAAACTGGCTCACACCAACCTGAACCCCTGGAGGGATTTAGAAACCCTTCAACAATCCCAACACCGTCATGTCCACCACGGGGCCAAACCAACCTAACAAGGGCCGTCTCTCAGACTCATAAACCGTTCCCATTTAATTTACGTCCAGCAGAGCTGCAGTCACAGCACGGTCGTATAGAGTCCAGTTTCAAGAGACTGCTTTCGATTTGAAGTTTGGAACATTTTGATTTGGCCCTTGTTCTGCAATTTGGCCCCGCTGTGGGGAAAGGTTCAATAAAAAGCTTCCGCTGTGCCTCACTGAAAGCTGACCCACGAGGAGGAAAACATGAAAAAACCCAATGTGAAGACAGAGAGACCAGCATCCCCGCAGCTCTCAGATCAGCCCTGATCCCAGCGTGCATGTGTGGGAGAGATTTGTATGTTTGTGTGTGTGCATGTGTGCAACTATATGTGCATGTTTGAGGGGGAACATGGGCTCTGTGTGTATGCAAATGTCTATTTGAGTGCATCTCACAACACTGTTCATGTGCACTTGTGACTGTGCACAACGTCATGTGTGGGGTAACATCAGATAAGTAGTGTGAATCACAGCATGCGTGTGTGTGTGTGTGTGTGTGTGTGTGCAGGTGGTGTTGGCATGCTGTCTAAGAAAACTGCCCCATCGTGTTTGATAGGCTGTTGTATTGTGTCACCTGTGTGTTGTCATCGTGCATCTCCACTGTCCTCTGTTGTGTGCATCTGTGCACATTTCCACACAGCAGGTACAGTGTGAGTGTGTGTTGTCTGAAGGTTGCTGGACTCACCGATGACGACGGTGGTGATCTGGTGGCTGCTAGCCCCATGCTTGTTCTTGACCTCACAGGTGAAGGTGGTGTTGACAGTGTCGTCCACTTTCCTCACCGTCAGCTTGTTGCCGTCCACCTCCACTGTGTCAGGCAAAGGACCAGACGCCCTAGAGAGATCAGAGAGGGAAGAGAATGAAAGAGGGATGGAGGGAAGGAATAAATGGGGTGAGGTGGTGAAGAGAAGATTGGGTGAGATGAAACATTGTTAGCAGGAGGTAATGGAAGGAGAGAAAAGGGAGACGGGAGAAACAAGGGATAGCAAGAAAAGGGGGAGGGAGAGAAATTGAAAAGAAAAGCAGTGAGAAGACCATAGGTATTGAGATATTGGATAAAATAAGGTGAAGAAAAAAATCAAATAGCCAAATCGATGAGAGAAAGGGAGAGGAAAATGAGAAAAGAAGAACCCGAGATGGATGGGAACAGACAGAAATGAAAACCAAAGAAAAGAGAGACTTTGGTATTCAAAGACAGCATTAACGTGAGAGAAATCACAGGCGTGAACAGCTGTCCCGTTCTCCTGCTCAATATTCATCAAGAAAACCAACACTACACAGCACGCCATCTGTCCATCAGGACAACATGTTGCTGTAAGAGCATTTGTGTCTATCAGAAAATCAAAAGAAATGATCATTAAAGAGGAATGCACATCTTCCTTATGAGTATAACAAACATCAGAGACTGTGCAACTCTCTTAGGGGGAGGTGAAGGTATCGACAGCACAGACGGTCAGGGTGTGATTCTTACATGGTCCAGGTGATTGTGGTGGGCGCAGGGTTGGCGTTGGCCAGACAGAGGAGCACAACGTCTGAACGGCCGACGTACCAGTTATTGTCATAGCCCTCTATGGATACAGAGGGGGGGTCTGAAAAGAAAGGCAGAAGACACAGTGATGTTACTGCATATTATGCCAAGAAAATGGAGGAGGATGACTAGTAATTAAATCCCATACAATTCTCAAATTGTTTTCAGTTGTATCCTTAAGTTAAACTGTAATTCCCTTAAATGTACAGTAGCTATTTCAATTTTGTTTCTGCGCCGTTTTGAACAGCAGAGGGATCGAAAGTAAATACCCCAATACCATGAGCAACTAAACAATTCCATTGTTGCTGAATTGAAACAAAATTGACCCAGACTCTAAAATGTATTAACCTAAGCAGAATGACTTTTCTCTGCAGTGTAATCTGTAGCATCCACTTGCCAGTGGCTGCAAACAAAGTGGATGTTTGTTAGTGAAAGGGCCCCTTCAGAGTCGTACTTGACTTGTTTCTTTCTTGTACTTTCAACTTTTCATACTTTTTTTTATTACACAGCTGATGTGAGGCACAAGCTAAAAAGATGTCTTAGCCTTCACATCAAAGTGGTACCAGTTCATTATACATACTTAAATGTGCCTAAGGAATGGCTGAGCATTCCTGTGGAAGCTCAGTATTCAACTTCAACTAAAACCGATTTTGTAGACACCACAACCAGGGACACTATTCTCTAACCCTGACTTATCATATCATGCACATATCAGACCGTAACACAATGCACCAATGAAACCTGTCCTCACCAAAGCAAAGAGCAGAGATTAACAGATATAACCTGGCCTGTATTTGCTCAGGTTATACAGTGGACTGGTAGGCAATCCCATCTGAGAGCCAGGCCCGCTCAGTTGATTAGCCTGCCTAAGAATAGCATTGACGCATATCGCCCTAAAGCCTTCCCACCATCATACTAACAAAAACACTTAAGTCAATTATAACTTCCTCCTTTTAGAAGTTTTGCGGTTGCTGGAAAATATTTAAGAAGCGTATTTAAGATGCAAGTACAGTTTGTGTTTGCTGCTAGGGAAATGTTATTTTTAGAGTCTAAATCAACCAACAGTCTCAGGGCCTGATTTAGTCACATGCAATCTGTATTGTTACATCAGGAGAGGCTATAAACAATTTAAAGAAACCCTTTTTCAAATTGTAATAAAGCAAAGAAACTTCTATTTCAACATCAGGCAAGGTTCATTATCTAGCAGATGCAAAAGCTAACAGCCAAAACAGTCAAATGCATTAAATGTTAAAAATAAACATACAGTATTTCTGGCCTTAACCCACTTTAATGAAATCCTTATTCATAACCTCGTATCTGAAGAAAGGTTGCATCACAATCAAATCCTCAGTGCAAGACAAAAGGAGCCTGATATGCCTCCATCTGTGGTTATGTGGGTATTTAGAGAAAAGATAAGTCAAAAATGTGGAACCTTTTTAACTTAAGCAGCTTGTCCCCCCAAAATCAAGGCCCCCTCATATACCAAGAAGGAATAAGTTTGTGTCACTCTCATAAGAGACTTAAAGTGAAGTCGAACCAAGGCAGCGTGAGTAGAACGTTAAAACAAGGACAGAACCTTGATGTTTTCATGTTCAAAATCTAAAGACAGAAAGAGACTGAAAAAAAGAGTGAGGACAGAGTGTGTCAAGGCAGCAGCAGTACAGGAGGGGAGGTGTGATGTGTGTGTGTGTGTGTGTGTGTGTCCTCCTAGAGAGCTCTGACCTATAAAAGCTGGCCTGAGCTGCACACAGCAGACAGGAGATACAACCCCACACAGTGAGGAGACACGGTGCAAGTGTGTGCTCCTTGTGAGGACATTTTGGTTGGTTGGTTCAAGTTAGAATAAGTTTTCAAAGTGCTGACTAAAGAAGGAGGGTCCTCATATGTATAGATGTACAAACATATTTGAGTTTTTCTTGCAGCAAACGCAGCGACAGCTTGAGAAGCGAGATCATTTAGCTCTGTGTTTACATTGGAGTTTGTATGGTTCATATAAGGCCCCCACACAAAAATACTGCACACACATAGATGCTACATTTTCCTAATAACCAGGAGAGATAATTTGGCAGCTTGATAGGCTGACATGATGCTGTGTATGAGAGAGTGTGTGTGGGGTCTTGTGTTCATCTAATTATAAGAATTTCTTATTTGAATTCCTTGTTATTGCACACTAAGGTCTGACAGGCAGTCTGTGTGTATATTGCATACATTTGTGCGCATGTGTGCGTTCCGTCTAGAAATTGCTGATTATTAAAAGAGGCTGAACAAAGACAATCTGTTCCATCTTTGTAGTGAGTGGCAGCGAGGCCACACAGTGGAGACGATGCTGTCAGCAAGCCTAAGTCTCTGTGAAACCACGCTGAACCTGTGTAATATTTTAATCCTGTGTAAATTAGAATGGAAATTAATGGATTAAATGAAAGCAATGTGTGCGTGGATTTGTGTGTAAACATCTGAATTCTTGATTTTCTATAGTTCTGAGGGAATAAAGTCCTGGAAGTATAAAATAATAAAGATTTTGCTGAAACATTTTGTGCCCCTCATCAAGTACAGTTCTAAAAGCTTCCATTTAGGATTAAGATCGGTTGTTACCACAGTCATCTGTTTTGTCTGTCCTTCAACAGAAGGCTGGATGGATGCACTTGTAATTTATGCAGGAAAAAAAAAACAACTAAGGAGAAGCAGTGGTGAGGATGCTGCTGCACTATTAATGCTGTGTACACCGCCCTGCAGCTTATCAGCAAGGGATTACTACAGTAATAATCAAATGTAGATGGAATATCATAAGCGTTTAAGTCCTTGCTCCATTGCAAATTCACAACAAAGTTGATTGCATGATAACCTTACGCCATATTAAATTAAATGCAAGTATAGTACACAAACTTTATCCTCCTTTTTTATGTACATTCACAGTCTGTCTGTGCAGCCGGACCAGGTATAATAGAAAGACTGGTTTTATTTGTATTCTAGCGCCACATTAATTTGCTTATGAATGAAAAACCCAAGATGCATTTTCATATGTTACAGCGAATAGACCAGATGCTGTTTTTGTAATTTCAATTATTACAAAAGTGACTTTGAAGGTGGAGTGCAGAGAAAGTGCTGCACACTAACATTAAGTATCATCTTGTCGCCTCACAGCTTGGATATAAATGTGGACTCTTTACACTTGGCGGCCTGTGTAATGTCTATAGATTAGTGGTAGAGGTTCTGCAGGTGGCTGCCAAAGTAAAGGCCTAAAGGCTCTGGCACTGATCTGCGTCTGAAGATATTGGCAGGGAGCACTTTTGGAACCAGCCAAGCTATTTTTATTCTTAGTTGGAGCCCAGATACACGACAGTGAGAAAGTGTCCTCTGGGGCGATGCATCTTTTTATGGCCTTACTGTGTGAAAAGAAATAAGTGTGTGTGTGCACATGTGTTCCTTACACTCCACAGAGAGCTTGACGGGGTATACCCACGGCCGGTCCTGTGTCCTCTGGTCAATCATGCAGGTCACCTCTCTGCCATTATCCGCCGGTGTGGGAACCAGGCGATACTCGCTGCGAACCGTCACCGTTCCATCTGGGCCATTTGTGGTGCTCATTGAGTGGTTTCCTCCAAACGGCGGCAGCCATTTAATGGTGGCTGCTGGTTTGCCCTCCACTGCCTCACACTGGGCTACCACCACTGACTTGGTGCCGGCCTGGACGGTCACTACTGTGGCCGAGTTCTTAGGCTTGGCTGAAAGGAGACAAAAAGGAAGACAAGGGCAGAGAAGGAGACAGAGAAAGAGGTGAGAGGGCAGAGATGATAGGACACAACAGGTGAGGGGTAGAACAGAGAGACAAGAAGAAAGAAAAATGGCACAAGAGCGATAAAGATGAAAAATAAAGGGTAGTCAAAGGAAGAGACATCAAACATGAAACAGAGGAGGAGAGGAGGGAGAGAGCAGAGGAGGAGGTTCAATCAGTCTGTTGTGCATATACACCGTGGCATCCTACAGCGACTGTAATGAAACTCAGAGGAGGGGGACGCCCTCCGTGTGACCGCAGGACACTCAGCATCACAAAGACAAAAAGTACAAACGGGTCCTTAAAGAGCCTTTCACTACCTAAATTTAGATGTGATGGATTAAAATGTTGAAATCAAGACATTTTTAGAAGCCTTTTCATCATTTAAAGGCTGCCTGAATGATCTAATCTCAAACAACTCATGTCACTGGCTTACTGATAATGCAGTGCTTGTGGGAGCCAGACATTTTTGCAGGTAATCCTTCAAGTAAAGTGAAACAAATGTGGCTTTCACATTACGGCAGTGAAATGCAAAATACCGCTCCCACTTAAACTGGACTCGTTCAGTAGGGTGGCAATGTTCCATCAAAACGTCCTTCCTTATACTGAAAAAGCCAACCTCTGACAATCTACCACAAATTTATAAATGTCATGTACCCATTCTTTCCATGCATCATCCTGCACTTTAGGAAGCAGTTAAGTCAGTCTGCTCTCTCAGTCGGTTGTGTGCTGTTATATACAAAGACAGCAATGGACATAGTGAAATGGAAGAATTTTACTTGTCAAGAAAAAGTCAGGCAATTATTGAAAACATTTTCTCTTTTGTTGCCAACTTGCCTGTTGGTTTATTGAAGCTACTGTGAGTGGACAAACTGGTTTGTCTGTGTGAATTTCTTTCCACTGAACAAGTCAAGAAAGAAACCTCTGTGCTTTCATTCTAAGGGCCTGACAAGTTTCCATTAATCTTTAAAGTTGATTTAAAATGTTCTCCACTCAAATGTATTTATAATAATAAGAAAAATATACTAGCAACCAAAGAAACAAACCAGCAATATCAATAGCCCTTTCAGTAGTATTAAATGCTTCCTTTAGGACCTTAAAACACTGAAATGGCTTAATTGTATCCATCCATTTGCTTTGTTGATCAATACCATGTCATTGTGAGACTGATAACCTTCAGGGGAACAAAGAGCTACACAGTACAAACTGGTGGAAGTGATCATAGCTCATTAGCTGTGTTGTACCATCCACTTTTATTTACTCTTTTCTGTCAGAGTGTAAATTAGTCCACATAAGAAGAATGTTTACTCAGTTAAACAGCCAATTACAGAGAAACTGGAAAGAAGCCAGAAGGGCGATGATGACTGACTAAATGTTCCCGCTAGGTTAACGTTAGCAGCTCCTCGCCATCTAAAGTGGTAGTCAAACATCACCGAGCTTTTAAAACAACATATTTGTTGTGTTGTGCAGCAAAGCTGCCTGTTGCTGGGCAGTTCTACACTTTTCCCTTCATGTAGTGGTAGGTTTATCAATCTTATGTAATTGTTGTCAAGGTCGAAATCCATTGTGTCTGCTTTAGTGGACAACTGGACTTTTTTCTGATTATCATTATTAGCATTTCATTATGTGGAATTACAGCCCTATGTTATGGACATGACAGTGTCAGCTATGTTACTTGGACTGACAGCATTACAAAGCCTTTAGAAGTCCTATATATTGTCCAACAGAGGAGGTGAAACTGATAAACAGAGATCTGATCTGGGAAAATCTGATCCTGATATGTTTCGTGACACTACATCCAGTTGAGTCTGCTGCTACTCCTCACATCGTCTGAGGCTGAGTACTGAGTAATTAGAAGCCAAGCGGGAAGCCGTGCTAACAAGAGCTGTATAAACAGTGTACATGCCCCCACGCCCTCAGTGGTATCAACAGGCTGAATGCCTGAGACTGACAGGCTGACAGGGAAAATGCATTTCAGTAATGTTTCAACACCGTTAACTGCATGAGCCGAGTTTGGTTTATGAAACCGAGCACTTGGAAAGTCAACAGGGTGACTGCGTTTCTGTAGAAGTCATTTTTTATCACATGCTTTCAATTCAACTACTTAAATAACATTTTACAAAGTTTCTGGCTGACAATTGTGGTTTTTATAACAGAAATGTTGCAGTTAAACTGTTCAAAACCCACTCAGTTTATTTTAGAATACAGAGATCTGACTAGCTGGCCACAATGGGCCATTTGCCGGCCGTCTTCAGAGACATTTGTTGCGACCCTGTCCCTGTAGCTAGTGGAGATTCTCAGGACTCCTCAGATGCTTGCCCCAACTTAAACCTGGGACTTCTCTAAGACAGTCTTTCTTTTCACCCTGGCAGCAGCTACAGCACAAGGCCTGGGACTGGATAATTGCCAGTTTGAATCCTAAGCAAGGCTGAAATATCTGCCAAGCGCAGAGATTTGTAACCGAGTGTGAAGTCGGCTGTTGCTCTGTTAAGGTGCTATTCACACAGGACAGCTGACATCTGTCATAGTCAGGGTTTGTTCTGAAAGCAGCCAGGCACCCAGAAGGCAAATTAGAGACTCAGATAGAGGACGGCGGCTGTAAGTCTTGGTATTTGGTCAAGCAAAGGTGCAGCTGTTGAGTGACATTTGACTTGCTGCTAATGTCATCCATCAACAGGTTTAGTTGTGTTTTAAATTTATCTTTAGCAGGTTTTATAGATGAAAAACGAGGGCCAGAAGCTTGGCCACTGTACATGTGGCTAGTGTCTGAAAACCCTGATGTGTCCTTTAGAGCCATAAAGTGTTGTTGCCTCATACTCAAAATCAATCGGTTCAAATGTAGCATGGAAACAAATTAAATCTTCCGTATTATCTACATCAGCTACAATATGTCAACAGTGTTCAGTCGAGTTTTTAACCGTCACCACAGTGTCTGGTATCTGGCTGCAGACATATTAGCAGAGCTGTCTGGTGGCGCATAAAGTTTCCTCCTCCTCCTCTTCCTCCTCCCTACACATGAATTAATTCACTCTTGCACCTGATAAAGGCAGCCAAGTCATTTCTTTTAACTTTCAATTTTCTTGTTGCATATATTAGCCAAAAATCAATATAGGCTTCTTGATCTTGTTAAATTTTTTGGAATTTGTGTCTCACCAGCTGTACAGGTTTGTAAACATCTTCTCTCAGCTTGACACATACTGCTGCTGAATACTTCCAGACATTGTGGGGAAAACATCTGTTTGGCTCTTTACGTCTCCCCAAGTGTTAACAATACATGAATATTCAAGGAACACAGGAACAGCGTATACTGCAATTATTGTGTGTGTTGTTTTGACAACTCGTTATTGGCTGCTAGAAAGCCTGACAAATGTATTAATCTAAAGTTTGAGACCAATTTAGCTGATTTAACCTTGCGAGCACTCGCTGCATTAAGTGCCTAAAATGTAAAACAATAAATAAATAAATGCAAGAAAGAAATAACTTATGCAAAGACTAGAAGCTGGAAACATGTTTCAAGACACTGTGGTGCAGCAGTGAACAGCGAGTTGACTGAGTTGGTGCTCCTATCTGAGGGCAAATGCACCCTCAAATGCATTTTCTTTTAATTTTACCTTCCTCTGTTTGTCAGCAGCAACTCAACAGTAGAAAGAACATTTGGTATTGTAGTTCATCTGCTGACAAATGGCTCAGAATGGTTCTAGTCTTGTTTTGTTTAGGTGACCTTTTCCTGCTCCTTAACTGAAGGTGTCAATAAAAATCAAGGTATTTCTACTTCATTAACACGTGGTTTTGGAAACACACCACTAAATATACTGAGTAAGTGTTATAGCTGTGGTGTGTCATCAGTACTGGAACCTAAAATGACACCAAGGCACCAAGCCAGAGGCATTGCTCTATAATTTTTGCTTAAGCTTTATTTATTCAGGGAGGGTTTGCTTCGCATGATTTCTTCAGAGCAAGAGACCGTTTCTCACTCTTACAAACTTTTTCACCTGGGAGCTGCCCGGTATGACCTCATTCTTACTGCCGTTGGCCACTGAGCAGGCAACTGGAGCTACTGGGATTGCAATGCTTTACTAAAGAATGGCTGAACAGCAGATGTTGAGGAACAGAGGGCACTTAATCCAGTGCTCACTGGCTGTAATTAACGAATCACCTGCATGAATAAAAGATAAAATAGACTTGAGTTTTAGTCATGCAAAATTTCTCACATCCAGAACTGCCCCATGGGTAGAAAAAGTCAGATTCTTAACACAATAAATCTTTAGTATATGGAACACAGCAAGTGGTATACTGGCAGCCAATGTGTTCGCAAGCAAGAGCCCAGCAGGACTGGCAAATTTAACAGTCATTTGTGAAACATGATGCTGCCACCTTTTGCAATCTGTGTGTAGGCAGATTGCCTTGGTGAAACAGAAACAGAGCCCACAGTAACCTGTCCCAATTGTACACTAACATTATTCTAATACTAACAGTAGTACACTAAGTAATAACACAACCATCTCTTCCAACTCTGTGCACAAAGACTCAAGTCATTTTGTATTAATACTGGCATTTACCAAATATGTTGCACAATAATTGTACATACTGCAATAATATTTTTGCACACTGAGCATAATACATGCTTAAAAAAGAAAGAATGTGCAACTGAGAAGTGGCCTGTGTCTAAACAGCATTTTAATGCAGTGGCCAGATTGCTAGTCTGTGGTTTATTGACTCCCTCTTGCCTTTTTCATTGGGTTTCAATAATGTTAGTTTGCCAGAAAATAGCGCTTTAGCTCCACCCACTAAGGTCGACTCCACCGCTGAGTCATTTCTGGCTGAGAGAACTGTTTGCAGAAGCTTCACAGCAATCTGTCACTTATTCACTCTGTTGGACTGTGCTGCATGGACTCCAGCCAGTAATCCTCCAGTCTGCACTCCACTCCTCTAACCTTTGACTCACACCATTTCCCTCTTCAAATTCAAAACAATGAGGACATTTTTTCACTCTGTGGGCCTAAAAATGCTTATAACCTGCCAACGATCTACTGGACCCTTGCTCAGCTGTACATCTGTCCTACTGCCTACCTTATATCCAATAAGATGCAATATAACTGGCCACCATCCACGCTGTATGGCCCCCATCCAATACAATATGATACCATTCACTGACAAGTGAGTGATGTTTTTTTATTCACACAATAATAATTGGCAATAAGACTGGCTGCCGGTGGCACCGCTTCCAATAAGTTGTAACATGATTGGCCGTCAGGATTACGCATTCATACTTAAATAAGTTTTGATATGATTGGGGTGCTGCTGGGTCTGCATCCAATAAGATGTAATATGATTGGCTGCCAGCAGTTGTGGATTCAATAGGATCTAATGTGATTGGTTCATATGGATTCCACCTCCAATAAAGTACAACGTGAATGTCTTCCAGCGACTTTGAAACAGTTACTTCACCAAGTGCATTTACATGCACCAGGATCTGTCCCAGAGAGCTTGGCACTGCTGCATCTTCAGACAACAGGCGAGCGGGTGAGCGAGCTTCTGAGCAGGTATTTCCCAAAGTGCCTCTGCTTTGCGCCAGCAGCAGTTTAGGAGGCTTAGCACGCATCCATCTGCAGGCCCGCCAGAAGATCTATTCAGGTTTTCTCTGCGAAACAGCCAAGTTCTGCATCTCCTGTGTGTTCTCTTCTCTGTGACAGAAGTTTCCAGAGTGGATTTTGTATTGTTGTGTGAATGCTTACTCAGAAAACCTACTGGGCAAAATATTACTGGTCCAGCTGGGAGAACACATTAAAGGAATTGTAAAGCACTACTTTTCTTGAACCAAGCTGGCTGCAGCAACTGGGGCTGCTCTAATGACTTTATTTTAATTACTGCCTTCTTATTGTACAGCATCTCCACAGTGACTTACAGGAGAGTCTCTGTGTATTGTTCTCATGCAATAGATAAGGAATCCCTAGACCTACATTTGAGCCAGCAAGAATTAACTACAGTGTCACTGCTCTGATAAGCATGCTTTGAATTCTTTCAGAAGTCCAGCTTCTTTCAATTCTTTCTCCAATTGTGCTTGGACCAAATACATTAAATATTCTGAAATTGGACAAAATTTGTGGAAGAAAAAGAAAGAAAGCGGTCCAAACACCCATTATCTCACCCTAATGAACAAATTCCATGCTAAAAAAATAAGACAAAGCACCATACAGATTATATTGAACTACAAAAAATAAATTCTAGATGCATTGTTTCACTTCAGACCATGTCTCTGCTCCCACCAGTTTGACAGGAGCTCTGTATGTATGAGCTCCTTATCGTCAAAGCACTGATGCTACAGGCCATATACTGAAAGCACAACACTCCCATGTAACAATCAAGGGAACTGTTATTATTCACATTTGAGCATGAAGCCTCCTCTGTGCTGTTATCTATGAGAGAAAGACACTAGGCATCTGATTCCTTTGTAAGCAGAGTGCAAACGAGAGGACATGTGGGTGGATGAATAACACCAGCTGTCTCCGATTACAAACAGGATGCATTCCCCTGCTAACGGCAACTAAACATCTAGTCACTTTCAAAAATCAAGACGCTAAGGTAACTTTAAGCAGCTCTCCAGAGCTCACATTCTGCTCTCTACCTGCCAGGTTTTTTGCAGTGATGCAGCTGATGAGCAGGAACTGTGCAGAAAGTAAAAGCTAACAGGTGTAGAGGATATTATAATGACATATACTGCAAAGTCTGACACTGTGGGTCTCCCTCAGATAAAATCAGGACACTCTGCCAACATCTATGACACGACCCCCGGCCAACATTTTAAACGGTTTGAGCTTTTGATGGGGCACATCTGAGCCTTATTACTGTCAAAAACATTGATATATTGTTAGTGAGGGAGTTAGTGAGTCTGCTACCTCAGCCCTGCATTTCATCTGTATTTAATTGCACTTTGGCAAATCAGTACCATGAAAAATATTTCAAATTAGCTCTTAGCTGTTCTGGTTTGCATTGTACCCATGGATGTGGAGATGACCATCACTGGATTACTCGGCCTCAAGTTATAACTAGGATCTTTTTCTACGAGTTGAGTAAATTGATGGGCGTTAGGTTTCAGTAGACACTAGACATGATGACATCTTAAAAAAGTGCAAGTAGCTCTAAATCTAAAAGTGTGTGTATAATAGATGTAAAGTCTTAGTAAATCAGTCACAACTAAACTGAAGCACAACTCCTGAGAGAAAAATGTCAAGTGACTGACACTATCGAGTACATTTACATGCACAAGAAAAATGTGAATACAGGGCTATGACAAGACAATGTCAACTGCCTTCATCTGACGATCACAGTAAGGGGCTCTCAGCAGGTAAATCATTCAGCCATTTGGCTAAAACAAAACGCTGCTGTAATTAAACTGAAATTACACTGATATGTTTGAGTGTGTCAAGACGATTACAGCAGAAGTCGATCCTGATGATGCGATTGTGTACAACATGTGTAGAGCATCTGTTGAACTCTGTTCACGCTGAACTGCTCACTGGGAAAATTCAACGCACAATGCAATGTTGTGCAAGTAAGTCAATAAAAGTAACACAAGCAAGTATCATTCAACTACATAATCACCATCAACAGGCTAAATATTCTAATACTGCTATATTCATGCTGCCTTGTAAAGTAAAATCCATCAACATCAAGTGCAAAACAAGCTCTAAAAGGAGGAGGTCTGGAATTAAAACTTCCAGTTTATCAGACTACATGCTGATCACACCTACAAGGCTGATACTTAACATGTAGTGCCATGTCTGCATCAGAATACTCCTCTTACTTCTACTTCCCTGTTTTTCATTACACATCTAACCAGTATATTCCCTGAGAACACCTGCCAAATGCTGTAGACTGTGTTTTCTAAGATTCCAAATCCGATGGGAATTTCTTTTATAGAAAGCAGTTATAAGCAGATGGCTGGGGAGACGCTTGTCAAGGCTGATGCAGTAGAACAGATTTGGAAAGTACCTTTCAAGCATGGCTCTCTTTTGCAGGAAAGTGGAAACACTGTTGACCCCCTGGTGGTCTGACCCTTAACATGTGAAGGTTTATGCAAGCTTAGGTAGAAATGTGACATCTCTGTACCCACCAAGCATCGTGAGGGTGGTCGTCCCTTGTTCATTTCCAGAAGGATAGGTGGCATACTCGCAGGTATAGCGGCCGGCATCTGACATTCTTAGGTTAGAAATCTTAATGGACGGGTTCTCCAGACTGTTGTGGAGGAAGACAACTCGGTCTTTGAAAGCCAAGTTGGGGAAACTCTGTCCGTAGATTGGGTGGTATACAGCGATGTTGTCCCTTTGGCCATCGACAGGTTCCCATATCCAAGACACCTGGGAAGAACAGACCACTGATTACTGTTTGCACAATCTGTTTTTCTTTTCAAAGCAGGATTTCACTACAATACTAAAGTTTGAGCTGTGTTATAGTGACTGTAATTTCACGCACAATTTTATCCTGCATTTGTAAACATTTAGGCTGACACTGTTTAAACATATGCCGACGTTATTACCAGCTCCTGTTTGTGACATATCCCTGGATGTACAGCCAAATCAAAGCAGATTACTGCTACTGAAGAAAACTTAAAGTGTGACCATTCTTAGGTATCTTCTTCTGATTTCTCAACAGCTTTATGGACAGTTATTCACAACAGACAGTGACATCCTTGGAAAGTACAAGATTCAGATTTGCTCCAGTTATGAGTCCAATAAGAAAAAATACTGTATGGCATTTGCCAGCTGTCCCTGGTAGGCTAGTGGTTAAGGCACAGTGCTCTTGCTGCTGTGGCCCGGGTTCGAGTCAGGGTTGTGTCAGGAAGGGCACCTGGCGTAAAACACGTGCCAAATATCAACATGTGAGTCGTCAGTGTGACGATTTGCTGTGGCGACCACTAAACGGGAAAAAGCCGAAAGTGGCTTTCTTACTGTATGGTATTTGCCACTAATCCCAGCCAGCGGGCACTGATGGTTTTCAGTTTTGTTTTTTTGAGTTGTGTGTGTGTGTGCTGCAGATCCAAGCGCTGACCACGCTGGTAGGTGGCCAAATCAGCAGCTGAGCTACAATAATTTCACATTGTTTTTCAAAATCACCCGGTCCCTTTCACCTCACATTTAAAAACACAAGCCATGTAATAAACTCCAAAATAAAAGTGACAAATTATGCTTGCAGGGACACTGCAGCAGGAGTATACTGTATATACAGCACATTCACAGTCCATAGTTTGACATTTCTGTGAAAATGTATTGAAATCTGTGTTGTTCTATTTTCTTTGAAACCTGAAATAATGTCACTTATAGCATATAATTCTCAGGCTCAATTAAAGGTGCTCGAGTACGGAACCAAGAATCTATTACAAGATTAAATTAAAGGTCTCTTAGACTTGCAAAACTCTCTGAATGACTCACTGCCATTTTAAAGAACACAATTTGAAAGAGAATGATATTACAGCCCTTTCTTCATAAAACGTCTGATATGTGAAAGAAACTGATATTGAAGTTATGACTGAATGGGAGTACAAGGCAGAAAACTGTGCATCAAATTGATTTTCTTTTATTTACATTGACAGTGTCAAATTCAAACTGCTGGCCAAAGTGACAGTCCAAGAACAAGGGGGAATAAAATTCATCGATACACATTTAAAAAACAACTGTTCAATTTGTGACATCTAGAAGAAAGGAAGGAAGCCGAGGGGGTCAAGGTTGCAAAGAGGAAGATGGATTGTAACCCCAGTGTCAGAACAAATTAGTGGACGCCACTCCCTCGTTAGCTGCAGATTGCAGGGAACATATTAGTGGGCAATTTAGCCCATCTGCGATTCCACTTTTATATGTGAACAAATTGACTATTGATTCTATCCACAACTCAGAGGGAGACGGATCAGACCAGGATCAAATTGGACTAGCAAGCTCATAGTATTTTGCTTTAGTCTACTTGGTCTGTGATGGTGATTGGGTTGTGTTGGTTTTCATTTGGAGCTTGATAAAATAAACTGGCTTTCAAATAGTCAGAAGGTTTCTGTGTTGCGTGTGCTCACCCCTCTCCATCTGGTAAGATCAAGTTAAAATGAAATGAACTGGCAATGACAGGGATGAAACACTGTTTTTTGTTTGTTTTTTTTAAAAGCTGTATCAAATCATTCACAATAAATACTGCTCAAAGATTTTCATCACATACAATATTTCCAAGGTAATGCCCCACAAGATATTGCCCTCTGAGGACACACTGTGTCATTTTAACAGTCGGGCAGAGTAACACACTGCCTCCACATTTTGGGTAATTTATGTGTTTACTATCTTGCTGGGAGTTAGATGACGGTCTGACGCCTGTGTGCTGAATAGGCATGGTGGTGCAGGATCTGTTCAGCTCATCTTCAAACCAAGGCTGGAAGCAGGCGGAAACGGATACAGTTAGCATATTATAGCATACAACATGTTAAATACAGGGTGGTGAGGTGGTTAGCACTGTCACCTCACAGCAAGAAGGTTCCGGGTTCGAGCCCAGGCCAACCTGGGGCCTTTCTGTGTGGCGTTTGCATGTTCTTACTGTGCCTGCGTGGGTTCTCTCCGGGTACGCTGGCCTCCTCCCAAGGTCCAAAGACATGCAACTTAGGTTGATTGCTGACTTTGAATTGCGTATAGGTGTGAGTGTGCGTCTACATGTCAGCCCTGTGATAGACAGGTGACCTGTGTAGGGTGGACAGCTGGGACAGGCCCCGTTCCTTAGATCCAAAATAAATAAACTTTTCTCTATCTCAAATTTCATCCAGTAACAAAAAGAAAGCATCTTTTTTGTGGACTGTTAACTTTGATGTGTGTTTTTAGCACATCTAATGTAGTATCTAATAATCCTTAGGTTAGTGTTGCATGACACATTTTGTGAATATACTGGAAGCTGTTAAAATGACATTTATACTTCTTGGTCTCATTTTAATGTGCAGAACATCAGCAGCCTGTGTCTGTATTCAACATATTGCAAGTTTGGAATTTCTCTGATTTTCTTGCCTCACTCCTTAACTTGTATAGATTCTTTACCATCTCACTTCTTTGAAGTTAGTTCTCCTAAAAAAGATCATTTTTGGCTAATAAACTCTTCCTGGAAGAAACTGTGCATTAGTCTTACTACACCAGACTCTATGAAGCCATAATCAGTGGATGAATAGTTAAAGTGGGTATGTGTAATAATTCAGAATAAGTACAGAAGGAAGAAGATCATGGGGGTTGAACTGACCTTTACAACCTCCAAATGAACCAGACAGATTTACCCTGTTGGACATAACTACCTTGTCAAGCTTGCCTTGACATTTTGAGCTTCTGTGCTTCTAGGCCCACTAAAAACGCAACACTCCCTTTTATCTGCCAACCTGTGTGAGCTTGGTTTTGCCTCCTCCATCGATGAATTCACAGTGGAGATCAACAGACTCTGTGGGATATGCCTCCAGCTTGTCATCGACTCGCACTTTCTGAGCTCCAATATCTGGAGGAAGACGAGAAGGAGACAAAGGGAAGAGAGATTATGCAATCATCCACAAAACACATGTTTTTGAATAATTAAAAGTGTTTATTTGAAATGCACCAAAACAGGAACTTGAATAAACAGAGAAGGATGGAGTATTAGAAGCATTTCATCATGAATCTGCTGGTGTTATTTAAATGAATTTGCAGTTATTGAGGTTTTCCCTCCCACTTGTTTTGTTTTTGTCAGATGGGCGGACCGACCTCCTTAATGTGCTCTATTTAAAGGAAGGTTATAGAGAAGCTTGATTGAAATGGAGAGACAATGAGGGGGAATTAAGGAGGAGCTGAGAGAAAAACCAGAGATAAGTTCATTAAAGAGAAAGAAAAACTTCTGGATCATGAGCCCTTGATAACAAGCCTCAGGCAGAGTCTTAGCCAGCTTTCCCCAGATAGGCCCTCCTCATTACAGTAAAGCTCATCAACCATGAGGCATCGCTAGGGGGCGAGACTCTGGGAGCAGGACAGCAGCTCGGGCACCGCTACTTAAATCTGTTTGAAGGCAGCTGTAACGCTTTTTTAAAGTGTGAAAATCAGAGCACAGGCTGCCTGAAAACAAGCTGGGAGAGCAGCCCTGTCCATTCAAACCTAAACACAGATGAAAGGAGGAAGGTCAGAGCCAAGCAGTGTGTCCACACTCTGCACTACCTGCCGGCCTGCAGGCTGCTCCTGAGCTTAAATTGGGCAAGTGGTGGGAGTTTTAGTGTTCTTCTCTTATTCTGCAATCAACTGACTCAACTGTGTGTAGTACTATGAGCCCAAATCACAAGTTGAAAGACTTCTTGTGAACTTATGATTTGGGCTCATACTTCTACACACAGCTTCCACTAAACCTGAGCCTGACAAAGGAAACTGTTGTAGTAAGAAAATGCATTTGAGGTAGAAGTTTCAACTAGTTTGCATGTGAAAAGCAGAAGAAAACCATGATGGAGGACACATAAAAGCACTTCTCAGTAATGTCAGGTTTTCAACTGCATATGGGCTTTGTCTTGTTGCGTTCCACCTTGTCAAACATTTGTTCATTAAAAGCACTTCAGCAGCTGACGTGCAGCCCCTGCCTCTCAGCAACGGCTCCTTTTATTTGGTTGGTTGTCAGCATCTCTCAACCACCAAGACAGATGCAGTTATTAAAGAGATGTATATAACCAACAAATTACAGCTGGTGCATTAAACTTCATGAAATTAATGAACTTTAATGAGCCTGTAATCCTTGTAATCATGACTGAGAAAAAGAGAAAATGGCTCAAATAGAATAAGAAAAAGGAGAAAGGACCAGAGAGAGCAAAAGAGAAAACTGATAATCCTTTGTTAATGAAATCTAGTCCAAGTCCAGCAGCTCAATCTGTGTGGCAGCTTCAATCATACGAGGCTTCATGTGACATTTTTAGTCTTTGTTCATGACCTGCAATCAAGTCATTTTGACACGATGAGCCTCATCAGAAAAATTTGTGATGCTCACTCCAACGTTCTCCCTCTGCCTGTCCTGCTCCTGTACCTGCTCTGTCTGGCACTCGTGCAGTGATCCGACCCCTGGGATCAAACCCCACCAAGGTCCTTTCTCCTCCACCTCCCACCCCCCCTGGCCAGTCACTCTCCTCACAAGAAAGGGGGATAAGCACTCACTAGCCACTAGTTAGCTCCGGGTGGTTCCACTGAAAAAGCCTCTTAGTGTGTGAGGGATTGATTAGGACAATATGTTACATGCCCCAGCATGGAGGTGAATAGGTTGGCTGGGACTTAACCTGCAAATTAGCTGTAAAACACAGTCACATTAACAAAGAATGCTCAGTGTGTGTGCTGCACAGGCAGCACGCTTGTTCAGTGTACGTGTGCAGGAATGAATTGTGTATGCTTAACTGTGTGTGTGTGTGTGTGTCTCTGAGCATCTGTGATTATTGTGCATCTGAGTGCATGCATGCATAAATCAGAGCATCTCATTGCAGTCCAAGTGTCTGAGACTGACTCAGCCATTGAACCACAGTCTGTACCCTGAGGGAGACAATGGACTGTCAAACCAATTATCCATTCCCACCGCAGGACACACACACACGTATGTACACATACTCAAAACGCATAAATGCAAACTACTGATGGTTAGACAAGTGTGTCTATGGCCTGAACAAAAAAGAATAGCAGCAATTTACTGAAAGCTCATCTCCGTCTTCGTTATATGCTTTTGCTTCTCTTATGCACAAACACACTGATTCATTTCCCTTAATTACACATATCAACACAATTATTCACTATTCAAAAGAAAGCTGAAATGCACAAACACACAGTCTCACTAAGGCAATGACTCAGACTTCCTGGTTATTGTGTGTGGTCAGTGAAGTCTCCACTGACGCAGGCGAAAATAATGAAAACAAATGCACAAAAACTAGAAGAGAGGTTGAAGGGGAAAAAGCAGGTGGTTAGACTAAAGACTTAAATACTAAAAGAGAAAAATTCAGGAAGTGTATGAAGAGAACTGGAGACAAATTGAAATGCAACAGAATTAAAGTAACAAAGAAACTTAGGAAGAGGATTTATAAAAGTAAAGTGAATAAATGAATGACTAAAGCAGAGAGAGTGAAGGCGATGGAGCTGGAGGGGGAGACCGGAGAAGGGGATAAAGACGGATGACAAACCAGAGAGCAGAGAAGAAGAACAGGAGGGAGTGGAGGGAGCCTGACTCCAAACGTCCCTCGGAGACCGAGTCGACTGTCTCAAAGAGACGAGATGAGCGACAATGAAAGTTTTCCTTCGTACAGTTCATACATATTGTTATAGGCACAGCAGTTCTTTCTTGTAGCTTCAATTCAGAAACCTGAGAACTAAAATTCCATCATGAGGAAAATTGTCACCTAGATTTTTGCACTGCCTGTCACCCCATTAAAAAAACTTCCCCAGCTTTAAAACACACTCTTTAAAAATTGTTGCAGCCGGTTATTAGAGGCCAAACTTCTGCCCTGTGAATCACATCTAATTGCCGACTATTGTTATGGTCTTTATTTTGCTATGGGAGTGCAGCGCACACACACTTGTCCTGCTATCAGGCAAATAGCAATCAATGCAGCATTCTGACCCTCATCTTTTCATCCTTTCCTTTATTTGCTCACAACCCCAGTGATCCACAATCTGCTTCTTAAGTCACTGTGGATTGGAGCATCAGCTACACATAAATGGAAAGTCAAAGAGGGTCGGCAGCTAAATGAATGGCACACACTCTGCTTCCCTCCCAGTGCACCAGGGAGATGAATCACAATTAATTGACATTTAGAGGCTTGTGGCATTTGCCTGTTTATGTGGAGCTTCCCCATGTAGACAGACATGTGGCGGAAGCATGAGGAATTTGCTGATGAGGTACATGCTCAAACGCATCAACATCCGATTCATGTACTTATAAAAAGCAGCGAACCGCAGCTGCTTTGTTTTGGGGTTTTCTGTCAGCCTGTTACATGATGTCATTTATGTCACACTTTATCTGGTTGATTGCCAACAGCTGTCAAGCGCTAGAATGAAAAGAACGAACACATTTGAAAAGCTAAAGCTGCTGCATAAAGAAATATTTTAACATATCAATGATGTGTGAGGCTAATTTTATTTCTTTCCAGATGACAGGTAGCGTTGGGCCTCAGTGAAGTGTTTTGATTAGAGCTTAATGCTAGAGGTCTTAATTTATGTATTTGTTCAACAAGAAGTAGTTGAGAGGTTATTTACACCCAGTGAAATGTGATGGGGAATTTATAGGTGACAGACTGTTTATCAGGAAGTAAAATTAATATTTTTGATACAAGGTGTCACCAACACGTAATTAATGTCTTTACACACATCTCTCAAACTAAATAAACAGTCTCAAAGGAAACAACTGCTAATGGTCTGACTGCTTCTCTTGAATTCAGGGACTTATACCAAAAGACAAGTACACACAGGGTACTGAGCAAACTGACCAGCACCAGTAGGATTCATGCACATCGGTCCTGGAAGAAAAACTCTGGGAAACCTCATCACCTCATCACAGATACAAGCCTGCAAGTTTCTCACACAAATGACAAGCTCAGAAATTAAAATCTGTGGAGGAAGAAGTGCCCAGATCCTTTACTGTAGCAAAAGTAGCAATACCATAGTGTAAATATACTACAAGGTCCTGCATTCAAAGGTTAGTGAAGTACTAAAGTATTATCATCAAACTATATAGTACCTTCAAGTATTTAGCAGAATGGCACATTTCACATTGTGCATTATATTTTTGGATTATAATTACTGATGTATTATTGTGTTCATCAGTTTAATGTTGCTTATAATTTGAAGTAGTTTACATCCTGCTGGGTAACTTGTGAATTTGCCTCCAGTGATCAGTAGAGTCCCACAGTATTATTATACTTTTTATTGATTTGATTCTGGAAAATGCCTGAAGATATCAGATACATGTAATTCAGGAAAAAGTATATGTGCCTCTGACATGTAATGAAGTCAAAGTATGAAGTAGCAGAAAATGGAAATACTTAAGTACATATAACGCAAAATTGTATTCAAGTACGGTACTTGAGTAACCATCCATAGTTACTGTACCTTCCACTACTGAGCAAGGTAATATATAAACATACTGGGAACAGGAGGCCACAACGACGCAGCTGCTGTATAAACCTCAGTAGCAAAATGTTCAAAACAAGCAGGTCACACTCCAGAGCCTGGAAATGAGACATTTTATTCTTAAATGACTCGTCCATATACTGTAGATATAAAATTGGTCATTTAAGTTTTTCATTTCTGTGCTCACCCAGCTGTTAAACCACATGCGTCTCAGCATATCGTGCAGGTCCACAGTTAACAGTCTGATCACTAAACCCAATCAGTTCCCTGTCCTCCAGCTTCTGTCACTCAGGTATAAATGCACGTTGAGGTGCGACATACTATATTTTTTGTCAGCAGACAGCTGTTGGGGTGATCAAGCATAAATTAAGCTTGAGGCCACAAATGGAG